CCCACCACACACACACACACACTAGGGCTGGGCAATGAATCACATTAGCCCAATCCGGATAATATATTTGTGCACCTCTTTGGCAATTGATGTGTTATGAACCGCTTCGACAGACGTGTTAGAACCACTTCAATAAATCATGGCTGCACCCGCTTGGGCAAACGGGTTAGGAAAGAAAGTTAAGAGTCTGAGTTTGGATAATGTTTGAACGACAATTATTATTCGGTTTGCCCATAGTATATTATTATCAGGGTTTTGCCCAGCACTGACACAGACACCCGACGACTGACCTGTCGGTATGCAGAGCCTCCATTGTGGCCATCTGTAGCTCATAGCCGCACCAGTAGCTGTCCACCATGTTTTTGGTGAGCAGCACCACGGTCCGGCGGCACTGAGACACGGCCTTGACGATGTTGGCAGTGATGTACTCTCCGGCCACAAAGTCGCGGCCGTGGATGAAGAGCCTAAGGCCGCGTTTACTCATCTCCGGCAACAGCGTGTCGGCAACGAAACTCTGGTCCTCCGCGGCGTAGCAGATGAACGCGTCGTAGTCAAATGTTTTCTGGGCGCCGCTCTCCTCCGATTTCTTGCCCACTTGGATTTTGGCGGCGTAGTATAAGTAGCGGAGCTTCCAGCGGAAACGATAGACGACGCCCCCCATGATGACTGCGAGGAAGGCCACGGACAATGAGAGTATGATGATGAACTGAAACATGTTGTTCGCGCACTCCCTGTTGAGGATCTCCAGCGTGCTGTTGTAGCCGTCCGTGATCTTCTTCATCGACGAGTCCGGATAGAGGCACATGTAGTTCTTGAAGGCCTTGTTAAAAGCTGGAGATGTTGTCATCCAGCGGAGAAAGTTCAAGTTTTTGCAGTCGCAGAAGATCGGACACGCCGTCATGTCCACGCTGACAGAAGTCCCTAGGCTGTCCAGAGTCTGTCTCGTGCCGGGAGATAAAAACTTAACCCTTGTCCCGCTCAGGTCGAGAACCTGCAAGTTTTTCATCCCAGAAATATCAATCTGGAAAAATGAAAGGGGGTTGCCTTGGAATAAAAGAACTTCTATTTCTGTCAGTCCGAGCAGAAAATCGCTAGGGAAAATCCGGATCAAATTGTATGACAGATTAAGCTCTTTGAGTTTTTTGTTTTTTTTCAGGATCTTTGTTCTGTTTTGTGAGGAGAACAAATTCCCTAACAAATTACTATTGAGATTAAGATATTTCAGAGCGGGCATTTCGTCAAAAAAGTAATCGGAAATATATTCTATGAAACTGGCGGAGGCGTCAAACCAACCCAGGGAATGAAGGCCGTAGACGGGCCCTTCCAACAGCTTTACTCGATTATTTTGTAGCTTAATAGACTCCACCGTATTATTGGGGTTAACGTAAAGTCTGGAAATCACGTAATTGAGTCCGGCCATGTTCATGTGAATACGCGTCAGCTTGGGAGGCAGGTTGAGCACAAACGGCTTCGGTTTGATGTTTACGATGACGTCTGCTCGCGAGAAATTCGGATCGTCTGCTTCTCGATTGAAATTTAGATCGTCTTCCGGCGCAATAATCGGATCGTCTGGAAGACGTTCGTATAAATCACAAGTCATATCTTTGAAGATGGGCTGAATGTTCGGCTTGTACCGGTAGGGGTAAACCGTTGGCAAGTGATACATGTAGCGACCGCCGTTGAGCATGAGGGAGGTTAAACTGGTCAGTCTGTGTAGGTCTAACAGGTAGGTCCCGAACACAAAGCGGTTGCCACTGAGTGAGAGGGTTTTGAGCCCCGGGGGCAAGTTCCTGATGAGGTGCCTGTCCACCGCCTCTATGTTGTTCTCGTCTGCCGAGATGTGCACCAGGGATCTCGGCAAGTAGGCCAGCATCTCGTGGAACATGCAGATGCCCAGAGTGTGCCGATTGCTCAGTGTCTGCATGTACAGCTTCTTGATTTGGCTGTTGCGCAGACCGTAAAACACTTTCCACAAGTTGATGAGGTAGATGTCTTCGTTATGGCTTATACTCAGCCATGTTAGTTTTTCTAAAGGCTCGAGAACGCCAGCCTCAATATGTGTCCCCAAAATATTGCAGTCGGCCAAATTGAGAGACTCAAGGTAGGGAACGTTTATAAAAGAGTCGTTGAACAGAGCATGCATCATGCAATCCCCCGTGAGGTAGCCGGCCATCAGTAGATGCTTCAATGACGTCATATTACGGAAGTTGGAGTCGAGCCTAGGGTGTGGGATACCGTCTATAAATAGTTCCGTCAAGTTTTGTAATACAGACAAAGCTTTTCCTGGGTACATCAGCTGGCGTTCTGGATGCTTCAGGTTGGGGTTATTTTTATTTAAGTATAAGCTTTTCAGTGACTCCAACGGGCGGAACACGTCGTCAGGGTAGGTGTCATTGTGCAGGCGGAGTGTGTTGTTCCAGAGCTTGAGCAGTATCAGACGAGAGAGCCCAACAAACGCGCCATTTTCCAGCAACTTCAGCCGGTTACTGGAGATATCCAGACATTCAAGGTTAGGATAGGGCAAGAAGGAGCCATTTCCCAAATCTCGAATTACGTTCTGACGAAGAACGAGCTTTTTTATGCTTGGAGGGAGGTCCTTAGGAACGCTCTGGTACTGGAGGCCTGTGCAGTTGGCGAGGTTGTTGGCCGAAAGGGTGCAGTTGCCGTGGTACAACCCGGGGGAAACCTTTGCTTCGTCAGATAACCCGACATATTCCTCACTTGTCGGAAGAGACTGGGAGTTTGCACGAAGCGACTGCAGAAACGTGGTTTCGCATGGATGGTGAAGATGGAGATAAGATCGAATGTCTTCCGCGTCCAAGTAGTCCGTCCCGAAAAGCGAGGTAAAGGCCTGGTTGTCGTGTTCATCCTTCCAAGACGGCTCTTCAGACTTGGCAGCGCCGTGACGTAGAAGTGTGTCGGCGGAATCGCGGGCTCGTGATTGGTCTCTGTCCCGCACACCGGACGGCTCGGAGCGTGTCGTCGATGAAGCGTCCTTGACACAGCCGGGAGGCGGGGTCCACGCAGAAGGAGGCGTTTTTTCGAGGGGCCGGAAGTTCTGAACGTCAGCATTTCCGTTCAGATGTGTGCGGCTGGCGTCAATAAGCGAAGCGTTAGCCAAAGTAGCTTCGTTTTCTCCTGGTGTGTGATCGTCCTCCCCTGATGTGTGAATGGACTTGGCCCGTGTGCAAGATAGGAGCACGGCCTGGAAAAGCAGCACCGTGTTCAGAAAGGAACTTCGTAGCTTCATCTTTTTCTGTTGACAGGGAACAATAATTATTGAAGTCGTTCAGTTAGTTGTGGTACGTAAGAGTTGAACGGAATTTGCATAACAAATAAGTCATATACGTGCAGAAGATTAGAGGTGTTACAACTAGAGAGTAATATATCAAAAAATAAATCTTGAAGAATAGATAAGTAAATAAATAAATACATAATAGTAGTAGTAGTAGTAGTAGTAGTAGTAGTAGTAGTAGTAGTAGTAGTAGTA